GTTTCTCTTGTTTTCGTTCCAACTGCCAGCCAGAAGGGCCCGTCGAGGCTCGTAAAGACAAAAATCGGGACTCTTATCGCTGGATAAATTTATCGCCACGACTAGCGGGCTACGTACACGTTGCAAAAGGTTACACGCGCCCACCGAACGAAGGTACGATAGGAGGGAACGCGCTTTTATATCGCCGAATGAATTGTCCGGCCCCGGGCTACGAAACTCGTTCCGTGTGTTCGCCACTTATTTCTCGACAAAATTCGTGCGCGTAGACACGCACGTCGTTCGATCGGAAACGTGTTCGTCCGTTTGACGGAACACGTTTGCACGACATTTATCAGTTTCCCCAAAGACGCTCGCAGCGCGGTAATTTAGCAAGCCTTAGACAGCAACTACACGGGTGAACTGGATTGCTCGCCGAGTACTAGCGAGAAAGTCGTTCTCGATGTTACGCGTCGTCGAGCGACGATGAGCGTCGGAGTAAAACGTTCTCTCGAACGCTAGCTGCGAGGTTGAAAAATTTTACGAGGCACGATTTCCCGCGAGGTGAAAGATGGTCGGTGCAATAATGAAAACGTTACTGTCGAATGATGGTTGCGCGGTCGCGTGAAACCCATCCGAACGCGATAATACGAGGACGGCCTTTACCTTTCCGTGTCTCCGGCCTCCTTTCGAGGAGCGCTTTAATTCGCGATAAGTACGTAAGGGGGAATTTAGCTCGTGGCGTGACCAGATACGAGCTAACTGCCTACCTGCTCGGACAGCTACTATGCAGGATAAGATAACGACTTCTTGGACGTCCGTCCGGCGGACGTTCTCTCTATCGGGCAACAATTTCGTTTCGTCGATCGTGGGAGGTCCTAAGCGAGTAACGCGAAACACGGAACGCGGCGATCCCTCGCGTTCATCAAAGTCCGAGTTTCAAACGAATCCGAACGGAACCAAACTTCCTCGTGATCGAGAAAGCGCGATGTACGCGTGCCCGAGGCGTCTCGTAACGTCTTTCGTCGCATCGTTCGTCTCTTTGAGACGGTACGCTCGACTCGCGTAATTACACGCTCAGCGCCCAAAAGAGTCTCGAGAGCGAAGCGTCACTCGTTACAAGCTGACCGAGACCAAGGTAGGCGAGTTTACGCGCGAATGTATCGCTGGATAAATTTATCGCCACGACTAGCGGGCTACGTACACGTTGCAAAAGGTTACACGCGCCCACCGAACGAAGGTACGATAGGAGGGAACGCGCTTTTATATCGCCGAATGAATTGTCCGGCCCCGGGCTACGAAACTCGTTCCGTGTGTTCGCCACTTATTTCTCGACAAAATTCGTGCGCGTAGACACGCACGTCGTTCGATCGGAAACGTGTTCGTCCGTTTGACGGAACACGTTTGCACGACATTTATCAGTTTCCCCAAAGACGCTCGCAGCGCGGTAATTTAGCAAGCCTTAGACAGCAACTACACGGGTGAACTGGATTGCTCGCCGAGTACTAGCGAGAAAGTCGTTCTCGATGTTACGCGTCGTCGAGCGACGATGAGCGTCGGAGTAAAACGTTCTCTCGAACGCTAGCTGCGAGGTTGAAAAATTTTACGAGGCACGATTTCCCGCGAGGTGAAAGATGGTCGGTGCAATAATGAAAACGTTACTGTCGAATGATGGTTGCGCGGTCGCGTGAAACCCATCCGAACGCGATAATACGAGGACGGCCTTTACCTTTCCGTGTCTCCGGCCTCCTTTCGAGGAGCGCTTTAATTCGCGATAAGTACGTAAGGGGGAATTTAGCTCGTGGCGTGACCAGATACGAGCTAACTGCCTACCTGCTCGGACAGCTACTATGCAGGATAAGATAACGACTTCTTGGACGTCCGTCCGGCGGACGTTCTCTCTATCGGGCAACAATTTCGTTTCGTCGATCGTGGGAGGTCCTAAGCGAGTAACGCGAAACACGGAACGCGGCGATCCCTCGCGTTCATCAAAGTCCGAGTTTCAAACGAATCCGAACGGAACCAAACTTCCTCGTGATCGAGAAAGCGCGATGTACGCGTGCCCGAGGCGTCTCGTAACGTCTTTCGTCGCATCGTTCGTCTCTTTGAGACGGTACGCTCGACTCGCGTAATTACACGCTCAGCGCCCAAAAGAGTCTCGAGAGCGAAGCGTCACTCGTTACAAGCTGACCGAGACCAAGGTAGGCGAGTTTACGCGCGAATGAAACGCTTTTAACGATAAGGACGTTAGACGTCGGGCGTATTCGAAAGCCGGATAAAGAGTCTCTAAAGGAGAACTACTGATTTACGCGTTCGTTTGACGCCAACTTTTCTCCGGTGAAACTCGTCTTGGATAACGATCGAAATCGAAGCCGACGACTATCCCGTTACGATGTCAATTAATTTAGTTCGCCTGAAAATCGCGAGTAAATCGGCGAAGCGACGGGAAACTCGGCGACGCGAACGAATCAGTAGACTGGAGAGACGCACAAAACGCTTGCCTCGTTCGTAGATGCACGCGACGAGCGTCGATGCATCGCGCGATGATCCGATGCCGTTCGACAAAGGGAAAAGAGGCGGCGTGTATTCAATGGAAGCTCGTAATACGCGTTTACGAAGCGACGCGTCTCGTTTCGATGCAATCGACGCTTTATAACGACGAGCAGTTACATTGTCGTTTGCGCGAACTTTGAAAATGGATTTCGAGCGAGTGTACAAGCGAGATATAATACGAAGGTCGACTCGGTTGACGCGTTCCGTTCGAGAAGTTTGCTAAAATCGTTTTCCGATTTTGCTAACGGGGAAAAATAATTCGTCGCGCGCGATAAACGTTGTCGTCCAGAGCGAAACGAGGAGAGAGACGACGTCCCGAGAGGAGAAAAGAGACGATAAACGGTGGACTTCCCGTTTCGCGGCGAGAATGCAGCAAGTTTGGCGCGGAGAAACGAGCGTGGAGTGACTATTCAAAGTCGTCGCGGCGCGGCGTGCAATTAATTCCCGAGCGAAGAGAAAGCGAGTCGAGACGACCGATAGGGTGCCGCACTCGTAACTCGCGTCACGATCGTTCGGCCAAAAGCTGAGTAGTCGAGATTCGAACTCGCTTGTCTCGAACCGCCGCAGGCACTCTAATTTAACGGACGATATTCCGTTACGTACACTGGCACCGGCGTTTATTGTCGTAGCTGGGGAACGTTTGCCGGGCTAGTCGCGGCCAAATCAAAACGAGAGACACGCCGAATCGTTGATTCCGTGCGCGTCGAGTCGGATATCGATTCGCCTCGATGACTCCGTGATACGTTCAATAACTAATTTGACGCTCGTTAATGCGCGGATATGGAATTTGCGAGCAATCGAGTCGCTTGCCCGTATCGTCCACGCTTTCCTTTCGGATCGTCGGTCCGCTCCTTTCAGGACAATTTTCATAGAAACTCGTTGGTTGCGTTTCACCGAAAACCCACCTGTCGGGAATTTCCGATAGACGGTATTGGTTTTCCCCCGATATGCTTGAACAGGGTGCTTACCGCTTAACAGATCGCAGAACGAACACAATCGGCTTTGAATCGGTCTTTCTTCGACGAATCCGTTGGAAATGCAGAGTCTCTACGACCAGGAAACCGACGAGATGTAAATCGATACGGCCCTGGTCGCGTCCCAAAACGAACAGGATCGATGGTACCGTTGGTACATGGCCGAGGAACGTGCATCGAGTCCCGGTGCAACGATAAACCGTGCAACGACCATATTCTGTAGCTCGCATTAAAAACACCGGGGCGACGAGGGAGAGCGATAGAGAGAGAGAGAGAGAATACGCGGGAACGCGCGTACTTCCGATTAAAAAGTCCTTTCACGTTTGCGTAATTTGCACGCGAAACTGACGCGCTCGGCATTTCCAAGTCCATTAAGATCGTGGCTCGCGTAATTAGAAGGACAATGTATCTTGGTTCGTGAGTAGCGGATTAAGCGGAGCACGGTCGTAGAAGAGATTAACCGCGGGGAACGGTTCTTTCTGCGAGAGTAACTTACAAGCTGACCACGTACGCGAAACGTCCGAAACCCAGGAGGAAAAGTCGCCCCGTAGACGCGTAGTAGTTCTGTTCGCGAAGAAAAAAAAACCGCGATACGCCGCGCTGGGAGAATCGCCGCGTCGAGGGCCACCTCGAAATCACGTTAAAACGTAGGAAAAATTGCGTCCCTCTCAGGGAATAATTCAACCGAACTCGCGCTCCTTCTCTCCCTTTCTCTCCCTTTCTCTCGGTGTTTCTCCGTTTGCACGGCTTCGCATAACGGTGCATTACGGACAGTATATTTTACGATCCGGAGAAAGGTTGGCCCTCGGTGGAATAGCCGCAACGTACCGTCACCCTCGTAAAATATCGCGCGTGCTTAATTAAACGCGGCTCCTTTGAATCGCGCGTTGCTTCCGACTCCGATCGCGAGACCGATTTTACGTGACCGATCGAATTCATCGATGGCGAACGAAGAAGCGTCGTATCGGTTAATCGCGTTTCTCGTGACAAGCGCGACTTACGAAGTAGGGTCACGAGAAACAAGAAGGAGTAAGAAAAGAGAACGGTCACAAAGGAAAACACAATAGAGTTTGCGGAGCATTGTTTGAGCATCTAGTACAATCCACTCGCGCCCTTCGTGTCCCGCTCTCTTGGTCATTTTATCGAGCCACAAGTTTTCCGAGCTTTTTCTTCGACGCTCTCGGTCGTTGGAGGCTCGAGTCGACGCGAAGGTCGTCGGGGAAATTTTATTCTCAAAATATCGCCGCGATCCGAATATACCTTGCTCTCGGGGTGGGTTTCGAGTACCGTTTCTCGAACGCTCTTACGTATTGTCCTCGGCGCGGTGGGTCAAGGCATTCGATGGACACGAACCGTGACAGGGTAATCGCTGCCCACGAAAGATACGAATCTACGTCGTCCTTTTGCTCTCTCACGCGATTCGAGCTCGAACGCGCGTTTAATGAAAGTGGTCGGTAAGTTCGCGTTTAAAAAAAATGTTTCTCTCTTCTGTTACAGTCGCCGGTCTACAGCTGCTTCGCATAAACGTTCCAGCGTACTCCCTGAGGGGCAAGAGCGCACTCCTCGAGTGCAGGTAAGAGTACTTGGACGCGTCGTAGCATCGTCGACCAGTCGTGCCGTCAAAGGGACGCTGCTCGCTTCCTCGTGGTTCGTACGAGTTACCTTTTCTCGATCGATCCGTTCGAACGGATCGATACTCGCGACGACGACCAGCGTGACTACGCGTTTCGGAATCGCCGTCAACGATGGTATCGCGACTTTAGTTTCGTCCACCGTCCGACGATGATGCACGCGAGATAAATCGATCCGCGGTCGTCCAGCGAATAAATCTCCCCCGAACGACAAAACGAGAAGCCGGTACGAGGGAAAACCACGACGAAACGGACCGATCGAACGATTTTTCTCTCTTATTTACGGGAAAAGAAACCGAGCGAGGAGAACTCGTGAGGACATCGATAAGATGCCAGCCAATAACGTATCGAGTTTACGCTTAGCGTCCGAACGGGACGATAAATAAGATTAAAAATAAGACGAGCAGAGGAGGATGGATCGACGACGATCCCTCGGAGCTAGGAACCCCGATACCGTTCCGTTCTCCTCGCGCTTTATTTATTTATACTCGCAATATCGTGGACCGCAATCCGAGCGAGAAAATTTCTTCTTATCTCTGCAGGATTTCTCGGCCAAAAAACACGCTCTTCGCGGCTTTCGAAATTCGCGAGTTCGTTCGCGGATCACCTTGTCTTCTCCAAGATGGATGAATCACCCTCGAACGTTTCCGACCCTCGGACGATCTTGCCTACAGCCAATTCGAATCTCGAATTAGCCTCCGAATGGTTTTCCATCGTCCGAAACGCGAGCGCGTCTCAAAACACCGGCTCCTACGTCGATTCTCCGTGCAGTCCGTCCTTCCTGTCCGGGCCGTCGTCTAGCCGGTAATTGCGCGAAGTCAGTTAATGTCGAATCAAAGTTTCTTCCGGTAGGAAACGACGGGTTTCACCGAATTTCACCCGATAACGAATCTCGATCGTTCCGTGCGAAGGAGCGATCGGAAGATTTTAGAAAATTGCGACGTTTTTCATTTTTCGACTAGCGTGGAAAACAACGGGGTAATACCGGAGCAATACCCCATAAAGCGTTTGCCGTTTCAACGTTGCTCGTACTTCTGAAAATTGCGAAATTCCATTATCTTTGGTGTAATGTTATTTATAATTATCCTATCGATTATTTTTAACGTCATGAACAATTACGCGTAATGCGCGACGACCAGCGTGACTACGCGTTTCGGAATCGCCGTCAACGATGGTATCGCGACTTTAGTTTCGTCCACCGTCCGACGATGATGCACGCGAGATAAATCGATCCGCGGTCGTCCAGCGAATAAATCTCCCCCGAACGACAAAACGAGAAGCCGGTACGAGGGAAAACCACGACGAAACGGACCGATCGAACGATTTTTCTCTCTTATTTACGGGAAAAGAAACCGAGCGAGGAGAACTCGTGAGGACATCGATAAGATGCCAGCCAATAACGTATCGAGTTTACGCTTAGCGTCCGAACGGGACGATAAATAAGATTAAAAATAAGACGAGCAGAGGAGGATGGATCGACGACGATCCCTCGGAGCTAGGAACCCCGATACCGTTCCGTTCTCCTCGCGCTTTATTTATTTATACTCGCAATATCGTGGACCGCAATCCGAGCGAGAAAATTTCTTCTTATCTCTGCAGGATTTCTCGGCCAAAAAACACGCTCTTCGCGGCTTTCGAAATTCGCGAGTTCGTTCGCGGATCACCTTGTCTTCTCCAAGATGGATGAATCACCCTCGAACGTTTCCGACCCTCGGACGATCTTGCCTACAGCCAATTCGAATCTCGAATTAGCCTCCGAATGGTTTTCCATCGTCCGAAACGCGAGCGCGTCTCAAAACACCGGCTCCTACGTCGATTCTCCGTGCAGTCCGTCCTTCCTGTCCGGGCCGTCGTCTAGCCGGTAATTGCGCGAAGTCAGTTAATGTCGAATCAAAGTTTCTTCCGGTAGGAAACGACGGGTTTCACCGAATTTCACCCGATAACGAATCTCGATCGTTCCGTGCGAAGGAGCGATCGGAAGATTTTAGAAAATTGCGACGTTTTTCATTTTTCGACTAGCGTGGAAAACAACGGGGTAATACCGGAGCAATACCCCATAAAGCGTTTGCCGTTTCAACGTTGCTCGTACTTCTGAAAATTGCGAAATTCCATTATCTTTGGTGTAATGTTATTTATAATTATCCTATCGATTATTTTTAACGTCATGAACAATTACGCGTAATGCGCGCGTACCGATGATACAGAGGTTTCGAAAATAATTGTAGGTGAAGTAAAATCGATACGAATTTGCATCGGGTACAACGATAATTCATCGGGAGCCTCTTTCTAGCGAACCGTATCGCGATCAACCGTTCGAAAAGAACTACCGGCAGCCTACAACGATGGCAGCCGTAGTACGTGTCCCCGATGGTATTTCGCTAATTCTTAAGTCGTGCGCGCATACCATCATGTTAATTAAGACGTAATGAAATTATGGCGTAACATAGCGCGTCCTACAATTACGGTTAGTCGGAATATGCATTCTAATTAGTGGCGCTGGCTCAACGACTTTTCACGATGAAAATAAGGTCGACCGTTGGGTACGCGGTACTCGTTCGTTCTGAAGTGTACTCGCTACCGCAAGAAACGTACAAAGAAGTTTGCGATCCACGTACGATCGATTCCCGGCGAAATCGGGGAATTCCTTCGGTCTCGATAGGAGAGTGTCTGTCCGGTAGACGTGTAGCTTTTCTCGTTCGACACGTATTAAGAAGCAAAGTTGTCCGTTTTCGCTGCTGGACTGCAGCGTAGCGTGGAATCGATCGTCGCGCTTCGAAACTCGATAACTCGAGGCGAAGACTTGGCACGGCGATATTGAATTCCAAGTTTTTTCGTTATTCTTGCGTTGCAAAACGTTTGCTCGACATCGCGAGGGCTAATAATATTTCCACGTTATCGGCGAGTTCGAAAGTTGGCGAAAGGTCTCTGTTCAGCAGGTCCAGGAGAGTAAACGAGGGAATCGAGGCGGTATGCTTTCCACGTAACGTCGTAAACGAGATGTTGAAAAGTGCGCGAAACGGCAGTAAATTGAAGCGTGCGCTTTTTCGCGATACCGTCGAGGAATCGTACGGAAAAAGAAGCGAGTCGCCACGTTCCGCAGAGATACCGGTTGTTCGATCAGGGATCCGTTACTCCCTTAACATCTTTCGCCTTTCATCGTCTTTCCACCCGTGGCTGTCTATCAAACAGAAAACGCCATCCACTTTCTCTCGTTCTCGTGTTCCTTCGATTTGGTCATCGCTTCTGTCGCTTCGCGTTTTCCACGCTTTTCTTATCGCTATTCAATGCGCAGGTACAAAGATGCCTTTGCAGCCGAGCACAGAGCCGTGTCGCGAGTTTCGTTTGTTCTCTTTTCTTTCTCGAGGTATCTTTTTCCTCGTGTAAAGTTGCCAGTATATGCGCCATAATCCCACGCTCGAGCGCGTATCGCGCTCGGTGACACGAGAGAAGAAAAAGTACTCGACGAATATAGGGTATACGCGCGTGTTTGTACGGTTTGTCTCGTGCCCTCGGTTTTTATCGTATCGCGATTCGAATCGGATTTTCTACTCTTTGCATACCGTGACGTTTCGACGGTATGTAATAAACGCGTTCGACGCGTCTCTTTTATCTCGCGATACGTTTTACCGGTTTCGGTCATTCGGATGGCGACGAAACCGGTCGAATAATTAACGAGCATTCGTCGGTAAACGGAAAGTCGCCGGAGATACGTCTAGCTGGAAAATCCACGATTATCTCGCTCGACGAACCGTTTTACTTGGCGCAGGAAGAGACAGACGTTCGCGGAGGAAGGAAAGAGTTGGCCGAGCGTGTACACGGTCGGGTTCTTTGATATTAGGTGCCAGCCGAGAGTCGGGACGGCAGCGCGCGACGTACCAAAGAGACGAGATCGTTCCCCGACGTAGGTATAAATTGCAAATTAGTTTACCGTCCTCGGCGAGCTCTTGCTCGTTGGTTTATCCGGCGCGTCGACCCGCTTCCTCTTTCCTCTCTCGATCCCTCCTATTCTGTCTCGTTTCTTCTCGTTCCAGTCGGCGTTCAACTGGCTCTAACATGGCCAACGATAAAGTTCCTTCCTGATTCGGGCCAGCCACCCTCCTCGTTTTCTCGTCGCTTCTCTAATTTCACCGTGAAAATTCGCCGAAATTTCACGGCGACGCGGAGACATCGAATTCTTTCGAAAGCGGCCGGGGATACCGAAAGTCGAAACGAGCTACTTCGGAGCAACCGAAGCTTCCGTTGCATCGCTGTCACGCGATACTCGACTATTCTGTCGGTAACTTTTCGAGTCTTCTTCGTTGCAAATCTGTCGAAGATTCCCATTATTTCCGTGCTCGACGACTCTCGTGAAGCGCGGTGAAACGCTTTCTTCGATTTTCGCCGAAGAGGAGTTTTCAACGTCGCCTTTGTGCGCGAACCGAGCGAACAATTAATTGCGACGTTGTTCGAGAAAGAGGATGCGTCTAAAAAGCGGCCCTTAGCTCGCGCATTAACCGACGACTCGCAAATCCTGCACGCGATAATTACATCGTGCCGCGGTACGCCGCATCCGAGCTCGGTCAGATCTAAACAAAAGATTTTCGGTCTACGAAGTATCGTCGAAGGGGACGGAGCGCGACGGACGAGAAAATTGCAAGAGGAGAAGTCGCCGCACAACGAGGAAGAAAATGAAAAAGCGAAACGAAGGTAGAGAAGGAAGCGCGTGCGTAGAGGACGGATAGAGAGAAGGAAACTCCCGTAGGATACGACCCGGCAAATGAGCCGGAGGATGCAAATCAATCCCACGACGCAAGCCCTCGAAATTGTGCACCTACGCTCGAATGCGGCAATCCCTTTTCCGGTAGCTGCAGCCGGTAACCAGGGAGCTACGGCGACGACGACGTCAACGGCAGCGCCAGTATCCTCGTCGTCGAGCCAATCCCCCACCGATGCTTCTTTCCTCTGGGTACGTCGATGCGACGACCCGACCGTGTCTGCGACGATTCACCGATACACGCTATCGAGTGCTCCCGCAACTGCTTCGACGACTGACCGACCACCTCTCGTCGCCGTTCCTCCGCGTTCCCGCTCGTACGACGTTATTTCGTTGCTCCGCGTCTTCGGCGAACCGTACGCGAGTCGTCGAAATTGCTCGTTAAATTATTCATCGATCAGGGTTTATTGGCTCGCGCCGCAGCGTTTCCGTGATCGTTTCGACGATCAAAGTTGTTTGTCGCGAGAAAAGAGAGAGCGAAATAAATTGTGGAAGGCGCGGAAGAGACAGACGAGTCGATCGTTGACCGACGCGAAACGTAATCGTGCGAATTTAATTACTTTGCGGATATTAATTATCGCGTAGATTATTCGAGCCGTGAAATCCGATGTACGCGTAGTTCTGCTCGACGGAACGAAGTAGCCTGTTGCGCGCGCTCGCCGCGTTTTTGTCGACGATTCGATCGAAGAATCTAATGGTCGAATTAGTAAAGGACGATTAACGGGACCGAAATCCGATCCGATTTCGTCGGTAGTTCCAAGAGAAAATCGAATGCACGGTTCTGTGTTGGAGAAATCCTTCCCCGGACGTTTTATTCCGTGGAACAGCGGAATTATCGGGAGTGAAAGATTTCCGGCTTACGGCGATGAAACGCGAACGAGCATCCTCCGGGGATTTTTCCGTTTCCCTGTTCGAGGATCGTTGAACCGGGGAAAAAAACTCGATTAGCAAATTGATGCGACTCTACGGAGCTACGCTCCGATCACGGATGTTGATCAATTATCCTAATTGTTGTTCGCCCGATTGGAATCGCGTCACGCGACAAAAGCTCTCCTTCGTGCTGGCCATCCCAGCAATCGCGTTAAAGCGCGTACCGGTAAGCTACCGATGCTCCTCGCACGATCCTCTACAATATCTCGCCACCTTTGTCTCTCGTTTATCCTGGCCCGGAGACTTTGATCGTTTTTTATTCCCGTTCCGGGTAGCTCGTATCGATAGGTTACGATAGGACGGGGCTCGCCTTTTCTAAACGACGTTGGATTATAACCGAATCGCTCGTATTCCCGTCGCTTGCCCGAGCCGAAGGATCAAACGGGCAAAACGAAACAAAACGAGACGGGTCCAGACGAAACCGATTCCGCGAAATATCGGGTAAACGGAAAAATCTCCGATATGCAAAGCAAAGAATCCGTCGAGCATTCGATATTTCAAATACATTGTCGGAAGCGGGTAGTAGGCAACGGTTTCCATTACTCGCGCGCAATCCAACCATCGAAACGGTCGACCTCCGACTAATCGAGAAACGATTCGCGGTTCGCGCGGCCTCCCTTCGTGTTCCGTCTTCTTTTGTCCCGGCTCTCGTTCGATTCGTCCAATCGACGAATCACCGGCATCGTTATCGCCGTGTTTTCCGCGTCGGGCTTTCGTCGAGCGTTTCTCACCGATAAACCCTCTGCAACGTTTGTTCTCTCGTTTCAGATACGACCTACAAGGGGACAAGCTTTACTCCATCACGTGGTACAAGGATCACGAGGAATTCTACAGATACGTGCCTAGAGGGGAACCCACGAAGCACAGCTATCGCGTCGAGGGCGTTAAAGTTGACGTGAGTTGAAAACCCTCTCGTGTCCCGCAACCTCGCGCGAGTCTCCCGAGCGAGACTCTTTGCTATCTGATCTCCGGATTGCCGCGTTTCGCGCGTTGCCCCGTCGCATCCGCATTTTGGATAACGCTCCTCGAATTTGGGAATCGATCGTCTCCGCTGTCTTGCCGTCCTCTAGAAAATCGACGGACGTTGTTCTCCGAGTTTCTCGATGTCGACCGGTGGAAAATCGTAATCGGCGAAATGGAACGCGAAAGTCGTAACGAACGGTTGCGAGCAAACCGAAAGCCGGAAACGAGAACGGTAATTGGCTGGGTGGTCGTAAAGATGTCCGTTTAGTCGGCCAGCGAGGGCGACCGGCAAAGTAAAGGAAACGGTGTCTCGCGAATCCGCTCGCGAAAGAGAAAAACGCGAGGCTTTACGCGTTCGTAGGGGACCGTACGACCGCAAAGGGGCGACGATAAACCGCGAGAACATCGGAATATCGGATCGTTTGCAGTCACGATAAACGTAAAGTCCGACCTAATCGTACCGGTTGTGCTCGTTCCGAGCGAGTCGTACGCGTTTACGCTCGGTAATATGCGCTGGAGGGAGAGGAAATCGGAATCGCGCGTACGTTTCCACGAACGATCTTCGACGTTCCCCGCGAGCGATCTCGCGGGCTGCGCGACGTTCCTTTAGACGTAAGAGCCCCTTCTATTCAATTTCGCGTTCGAATTTTATTCGACGTCGCTATAAAAGTATTTCATCGAGCCGGTTGAAAGGAAGAGGCGCGACGGCAGGGAGGAGAGAGCGTGGGTGAGAAAGCATAAAGTTGGCGATACGTTTCGGTGTACGCGGAGACGCGTTGTCCCTGTACTGCCTCGTACGGAACGAGGTCGCCTTTATCGCAGCGAATAAATGTTTGACGAATCGAGATGGGGGATGCGAAAGGAGATCGTTGCCGTCTGTCGGCGCGGAACCGAAGAAGACGCGACGCGTCGAGACGAACGAAACGGCGTAAAGTCGTATATAAAGAAGATGAAAACGAGAGGAGAAAACGGGGATAAAGAGACGAGGCGTGTTCGCGTTGGTCGAACCCGATCGATCGGCCGGATCGCGGGAGTGTCTCGAAGACCGAGAAAAGCGAGACGGATCGCGAGCCTCGTCTATTCTCGGTACGGTACGTCCGTTTCCGATTCACGTTTTGGAAAGGCACGAAAGTTCCGTTTTCCTCGACGCTCGTTAATATCGGCCGACGCGTAACGAGCATTACGTGAGTCGAATCGGCTCATCCCTTTGCCCGGTTCTCGAGATCGAGCAGAGCGAGAGAGAGAGAGAGAGAGAAAGAACGCGGCTATTAATCTGGCTCGGCCCAATGGCTCTCCGATATCGACAAAGAAATTTCTCCGTGGACAAAAGCGAGCGTGTCTTTTCATCCCCTTCCACCGGCCCTCTCGGATACGCTCTCGTCGTGACACTTATTGGAGTAGCAGGGAATTAAGTGGATTTAGCGGGCAGAGTCGTATATTTCTACTTCGGGCTCTCTCGACTTTTAATTTTCCCTCTCGTTCGCCCCTTTTGCTGCCTTACGTAACGCCGCCGCCGCTTAATTTCGCTATCTGAAAATTTTCAACCGCCTCGCCGTTGCCCCGATATACATTTTTTCTTTTCTTTCGACGGACCAGCGACGAGAGAAACCAAAGAGTCCCAATTACCGTCTGACCCTCGAGTTTCGCGGCAAACTAATCGACCACGAACGAGAGGCGATTAAACGCTTCGTCGAGCCAACATCTTCCCGTTAACGATGCGTACACCGAGATCTTTTCAGCCGGTTCAACTTTCCGAATGCTCGGAGATAATCCGTCGTTGATTAATTTCCTCGTTGAAAACGGAAGCGACTTCGAGATTAATTTTCGGATCGAGGAAAGCGTTTAGTCCGCTACTCGGACAATCGATCGTTCCTTAGCGAGCGAATTTTTCCACGCGAAAGTTTATCGACGCGATCCCGTCGGCCAACGTATCCGAGAGAAACGTCCCGAAACGGAGAGAGAACGATCGCGAGTTCTCTCTCGAAGCGAGTCACGTTTTATCGGACCGCGTTCTCGTCGACGTAACGCTCCGCGTCTCTCTTCGGCCCTCTCTCTCTCTTCGTTGGCTTTCGATTCTCGCACGACCGTTACGCGATCGACCCAAATCGTCCCGTCGCGTCGCGTCCGCAGGACGAAATAACCTGCTAGGTAATGCGATTCCCGCGAACGTTTCCACTTGCCCACGCGTTCTTCTCTTATTCCGTGTTTGCCCCTAACTTTTCTCGCCGAACGTAAACCGATTTGTCGATCGAGAAAGTTTGCGTCCGACCGACCAACGGACGTGAGCGTTTCTGCGCGCGCTAAAAATTTCTTGCAACTCCTCGCGAAGATCCGAAGGAGTTTCTGTTTTATCTCCATAGAAATGGAAGATGCCCGCGCGGGGTTAAACGGATTATCGTCGTCTCGGTTCCATTAATCGCGGATCTTTTCTCTCCCGCCACCTCCTTTGCTCCGAGAGGAAAATCCGCGAACGAACAGCGGCTACGAGGTAACGTGGAGTCGTTCCGGCGTTGCCCGCGAGAGAACCGCTTCCACGAACAATGTCGGATCAACTTTACCCGGCTCGCGACCATCCGCTTCGCTATCATCTATCTCGCGGAAATAACTTCCGGTACGTTAGCGCCGGTACGGCGGCAACTATGGCAATAAATCGATATAAGCGCGTAAGCCTCTTACCGACCTAATAGCGTAATATTCTGTCTATGAAGAATAATTTGGAGCGGTAGTACGCGATATCTAGAAAACAGAGTCAAAAACGCTCGAAAAAAAAATAATCGTCGCGGCCTCGTCCTCGAACGAGGAAATTTCGAAGCAATCGCGCACGGCAAATGGAACGCGACTGTTTGCTCGTCCGCTCAAACGAGTTTTCGTTCCGTTCGGTTCCGCTCCGTTCCATTTATGTATCGGTAAACTTTTACGGACGGCCAGCGAGAAAAAACGTCCCGCTAGCGAAGCATCGCGTCAAAGTCCAAAGGGTTTTTTTCCCCCGGTAGACGAGTAGCATCGATCCGTCGATCCGATTCTGGAGGACGCAAAGATTCCACGACCGCGACGGTCAAGTAGACGAGGAATTATCTTTGTAACTGACCGATCGACTGTTTCAGCATCGTCGGTCGGACCATCAGCAGGTTTTGCTGCAGAACGTGAGCTTGCATAGCAGCGGACAGTACAAGTGCGAGGTGAGCGCCGAGGCTCCGAGCTTCAACTCGGTCAGCGCCGAAGCCCACATGGAAGTCGTAGGTAAGCCAGTCTCGCCGGTACGCGCTGTCCTATTCCGTTCCGTTTCATTCCATGCCATTCCATTCCGTCTCGTCCCATTCCAATTCTGGCCCGCTACGCTAATTAATAATCCTTTGATCGCGGCTATCGCGAATCACCGTAATTCGAGCAAAGCTTTCGTCGTTTGCGTATTTCGACGGTCTCGATTCGGCCGAAGGAACGAGTTGGCCAAATATTTCCCGGAATTACCGCTCGACGTAGCGGGCCAAATTGCCGTTTTCGCCGAGCCGAAGCTGCCGGCAACGAATTACGATATCGATCGAGTCGTAAACTCGATTATTCTTTCGCGCGGAGAAATCGTTCGCCGTGAATCGCGTGGCGTGCTCGCGATTCTCGTGGCGGGATCG